CTCCCCAAAACCCCAAAACCCCAAAACCCCAGAGGGTAATCGCTCGATTGAAATTGACACATTTTGCCTGTTTAGGTTTTTACAATTTTTTAGATTTTGAACTATTATCTTTTGATTCTAAGCTTAATTCGTATATCAAGTCAGGAAGTATGATCGAGTCTGGATTGTTAGGAGAGCTTGCAATTGGTATTTCATTACTATCTCCTGAAGGATTGCTCTTAGACTCTTCCTTGAGATCTGTAAGCATAGGAGAAGGTTGTATACTTTTCCTAAAAATTATATCAAATGTTACTTGAGGGGGAAACAATTTTCCACATTGAGGTCATCTCCTATAGCTTTCCCCATCTTCTTTACTATTGAAATCGCATCTCTTCTCTCAGAAGATTTTATGAATTTATTGCCTCTCATAGAACTCATTTCTAAAATAGTAAAAAATCTTACTGCTCATCATGAATATCCTATCAGTCTGGCTCAAGTCATCAAAACTGACTCCTCCTGCCAGAATTTTCTTGAAATATGAAGCATCCTAAATTTGGCATGAGATTAAGCTATTATCTAATCACCAGCTTGCTTTATAACACTGGCCTAATATTTTACAGCTCTGAACAACTTAACTTCTCTGGTCCAGAGCTCAGAGTAAAACCATTGGTAAGCCAAAATACCATTGATTTTAAAACTTATCATTTAACGCTGATTTTAGGAAACATGGATCCAAAGTCTTACCTTCTCCAATTTGTGAGGAGTCCTGATGTGCTTCTCTATACCAAGATATAGATGTTGTTTTAATCCCTGATGCTCAGGTGTGTGAACCTCAGATTTGTTATTAGATATTGACTAATATTATAACTCAGCTATTACACACAAAGGATAGCTAAGCTTCTGGTTTTAACATGCTTCCAGAGTTCTCAACAAATTTTGAATAATGAGATATTCAGAAGATTTTATGGGCCTTATAAGATTTAAGGTCTGTAATACACAAATATGAGTTTATTTTGCAATATTAGAGTTAGAATTGAAGCCATTCTTAGTGATAAGCTCATCCTAGGAATCAACTACCTCAAAAATGTTGTGTGTAATGCTTGTCAAATAATTCCATTTAGACTTTCCACATTAGAGTAATTAAGGTGCAACGAAATCATTTCTAAGCATTGGGTTTAATTGGAATCAAGCTTCTAAAGTAATCTAACAGCTTTGCTTTAGCAAGGAAATACACAAATTCTTCTAAGGATTAAGACTTTATCAAAATCTCTCAAATATTACTAATATTCCCTTGTAAAAACAGAGCTGTTAGATTGCTTATAAAAACTTGATTCAGATTAAACCTAATACTTTAAAATGAATCTTATGGCATCTTTATGATTCTCTAGTGTTGATATCTATGAGTGGGATAGATTAAATGAGCACTGCACTTTACATTTTTAAGATAGTTGATTCCTATAATAAACTTGCACTACAGATGATTAAATGTTAGCAAGGGCTTTCATATTCTATTCGTATCCTGTATAATAAATCCTTAATCTAAAAATATTGACATCTGCTTATAAATCTAATGAAGAAACGAAATTGCATACGGATATTCTCAAAAAAGTTTCAACCTCTCATGAGATGTAAACAAACACTAATGAAATATGAATTAACCTCAGAACCACAAAACAACTATTAATACATAACTATAGCTCTACCACCTAAAAGCATAATAACCCGACGGAGTCAGAACCATTGGCACTAAGTCTTAACTCAACAAAGGAAATCAGTTTCAAAGTAATTTAGTACATTTTTCAGAAAAGTGTTTTAGAGCTTTTGAACCATGATAGATTTTATTTTAGAAAATGGGTCTTTATAGCCTCTTTGGGACTTTAAGTGTTATTGGATATGGGATGATAATACCTCGCGAGTAGCAAGGGTAGTTTTGAGGAGAGGTTTTAGGAAGTAATTTTCATTAATATGGCTTTATGGAGTTCATATTTATTGGTTATTTAGGGGTTGCTAAATTAGAGCAAGATACTCTAGAGTTAAGCTGGAGGTCAATTTTTAAGATTCTATTTCTCTAATTTAAGAATTTTATTATGTGACTATAACTGTGTGAAGTTAATACTTTATTTGAAATAGCTTTTTCTTAATAATTTTAGAACTCTCATCTCAAGTCAATAAATTTTTTCTTAATATACACCACTTTCTTATATTTCTAATAATTTAGTAAAAGGTATTAGCTAAATCGAGAGTGAAGAATTATTAACCAATTTTTCTCCACTGAAGACACTTAAAAATATTAAGCAATTTAATTCTCCAAAAAAGTCTCCCCTTTATCTACTTCCTAAAACACACATTTTCATACACTAAACCCCCTAGAATCCATTCCTTTCTATCTCTACACTATCTTAACCTAAATACATAATTTGGCACTCAAAAATGACAAGCATAAAGCTACTGGTCCCCAACCACTTGTACCAAACAAGCTCCAAATCTGTGACTTATCCATCGAATCCAGCTATTCTCTCCTAAAACTCACCTTCAAAAAATCTCTTGTGCTTATGCTTACATCTAAGCTTATGCTTGTGTCTAGCCTTCTTAAGCTTCTTCTTAACTTTCTTATTCTTCTTGGCGATCACAACAGATCCTAAAGTCGTGTTATTATTCTGACTGTCCAAACCTTACCAATGAATTTCTTCTGAGTAGCTTCAGTGGAGACTTCTAACTTCTTCTTCAGTAATATCTTGCCTAGAAGAGTGATAGCCTAGAAATATTAGCGATTGGAATTACTGGGCTGATGAATTTGTACTGCTTCTTGTATAATCTTAGGAATTGGTATGTCCATTCTAGGATGAAATAAGTGTTGAATGTAAAGACTATCACCATCATTACTGTGTTTAGAGAATTTACACCTTCATCTTGGGAATATACTAGCCCAGCAGCGAGTATTATGATACCTGCGTTTGATCCAGATATTTCGAGAGAGTTAAAAGAGGATTCTTTGTAGGGCTTCAAAGTGTCATTCAATCTAGTGAATACAATCAGCACAGCCAGAGCGCAGAATAGTCTAGTGGTAGTGTTGAAAGGAAATGTAATTATCACAGATATCTTCCTAGCCGTGTTAACAAATTCCCAATAAAATGAAGACTTATTCAGTCCTTGGATTAGAATCAAAAAATATATTTTGACTTTGTTCTCCCCTGGCTTGTTGGCATACTTTATCAGTAGTATCAGAGCAATAACTGGTAAGGATATTACCCAGATAAGAATGATTGGACCTGCAATGGTCAGGCAATACTTTAAGTGTCTTGCAGAGTATCACTCAATGTCCATATCCACTCTGACTTTGGATACTCCTTTGTCAATTTCAACACATCTGAATAATCCGAAGCTCTGCTCAGTCATAGTGGGGTGAAGTAAGAATAAGATCGAAATGAAGCCAATCACAAAATTACGCTCGATACTTTTTATTCTTGATGGTCGAATAGCTTTGAAAATGATCATTAGCAATGCTACAAGAGAAAAGAGAATAATTGGCAGAAGACCCATCAAGAATAGTTTAAATATTGAGTTTGAATCAAAGGGGCCTTTTATTTCATAATCTTCGACAAAGCAGTCAAACGAAAGAAAAGTCTCACTTGATGAGCCAATTTCATCAGTAAATGAAAAGAAGGTTGTAATAGAGTTCGGATAGTCTCCTGTTAGACTGATTGAAGTTGACACTATTTGGATATAATTCGTCAAAATCCTGAAGAGAACCGAAAGATTACTTTCTTTTGTTTTTCGAATGTTAATAATAATCAGGTAGCATAAAAAGGCGAATACTAACAATCCTGTTCCGATTACTCTAATTGCATTAAATACTGGTTCTGGGCATTTAGAACATTCGAAGTCTCCAGTCCTCGCGTATTTAGCATCTTCATTGACGATGCATTTACTTCACAAATTTCCAGTATAACCTTCAGCTCATTCAACAGGATGAGTTGCATTGGATAAGAACCCTCCTTTGCAAGCATTTGACTTCAAGCACTCTTTAATCTCAGTAGAGTTTCTAGTGTTTCTCCAGTACCCAGGATAGAGTTGTATTTTCTCTTTTCCTGGTCAGAAAGCATTGTCCAAACATTTGTTACAAAAAGTGGAATTCCATTTGAGTGAGTAGGTTCCAGCTGAGCATTCGGCTCAAATGTTTTGGCTGTCAATATGCTCCCCAGGCTTTCAAAACCTAAAATCCACAGAAATTTGATTGGAAAGCAAAGAGTCTCCAAACACTTCATCTACCTTGTTATTATCAATAGCCTTAGACACAGCTCTGTATTTTACATTTTCAGAACCGATTTTAGATACAAACTGGATATCATCAAATTCCGAAACTCCGTTCTTAAGTTGAACTGTATTAGTTTCTCTAACTGCTGAGCTTTGAGTGTCTACTGCAAATATCGAGATTTGACCAGCATTGTCCATGATCATTGTCTGATTATCAAAATCCAGCAGAGATAACTTAATAGGATAATCTAAGCCAATCCCTGAACCAACATCCTTGAGACTCATATCTGAATGAATATCTTGAGTTATTCTAATTTTAACTGAATAGCTTGCTATATCAGGTCCGTACTGAGCACTGTTGTCTGTAAATGTGCAATTCGTGATAGTTGGGTTTCTGTAATTATAGTTTATAGCGCCTCCTTGCTCAGATGCTCTCTGATTCGTGAAATTGACTCTGTCCAATCTCAAGTCACACAGTGTCAATGATGTACATTCAAAAGCGATGGCAGCTCCCTTGACACCCACATTGTGGCTAAAAGTTGAGTTTACGACGGTGGCTTTGCTGTTCTGCATCAGCATTGCTCCCCCTACACTAGTTTCAATGTTACCGTTCCGGATAAAATTACACTCGTTGATTTTATCAATGGTGGTCTGACTGATTTGCAATGCTCTCAAGGAACTCTGGATGTCAATATTTTGAATAAGAGAAACATGAGATTTGGTGATCGATATCACATTCTTATCAGCATTGTTTCTCGCAAAGAAACCATTTATTTCCACCTGAGTAGATCTTGAGATAAATATCAAATTATCTGAATTTACTGTTGAATTGATAACTTCTATATTTTGTAATTTTATTTTATCTGAATTTTCTATCTGAATTAAGTCTTTGGGACCATGAATATTTTCAATAACTACACGGTCCATGTCAAGTTGGCTTGAAGTGATTCTTCAGAATAGGGCATTTGAAGACTTAAAGTGGACATTTGTCAAGTTGATGACACTTCCAATATCTCCAAGAATCAACTCAGAGCCTGCTTGGGTAGAAATGTTATCAAAAGTAACATTATTAAGAACTATCAATGACGTTGCCACTTTGATAGATGTAGATGCAAATGACAGATTGCTCAGCATTGATGAATCAATGTGGATATCTGACATCAAACTCAAAATTGGGTATTGTTCAGAGTAAATTTTTGAGTTGTTTCTCACAGAAAAAGAGCCTGAAATAACCTCAAATAACACTTGAGACTCAACCAAGTTATGCAGGTTATTGGTTGCTACATACTCTTTGAACTCATCAGATAAGAAACACAGTTCAGAGCATGAAGTTTTCTCTGACTCATATTCGCTGCTTAAGAGAGGACTATTACTGAACACCTCAGAACTATCTACACTACTAGTATCAGAAGCATCAAAGATCTGCGCAATTGAAGCCTGTATTGCATGGTTTTGTGTGATTGTTGAGTTGACAATACTAAAGTATCCATTACTCAAAGCTCTTATGAGTCCTCCAGATAATGCAAAATTATTATTGATTGTTCAGTTAGATCATTTTACATGAGCCTCAGACTCAATAGTAAACAAAGATGCTACAAGCCCATAGTTTTGTGTAAACTCTCAATTAGTAATAACTAGTTCTGAGCCTCCTTCTGAGTGAAATAGTGTAGATCTTTCGAAAAGAGAAGCTATTTGAGAAAACTTTGAATTAACTACTATCAGCTTCACAGAGTTTCTGATTTGAACAGCGGCTTTGCTCTTGACAATATTATTTGAGAATGTGCAGTTCTCAAACTTAACTTCAGTTCTGACATTGGCTCCATCACTAGCCTTATCTAATAGTATTGATGAGGAGTCTGAGTTTATAAAGTGAGAATTTTTGATAGTAACTTCATGGTCCAGACTGTGACTGAACTTAAGATTGTTTCCACTTCTCGTGTAATTTACTCTAACAAAAGTGAGATTATCCATTGAAACTCTGAGTTCCCCAGTACCGACAAAACCAGATGTGTCAATGAGATTTCTCGAACTGGGAATAATCATATCATGAAAAAGAATATTAGTGAAATTAAAAGTTTGCTCTTCAACTGCACTCTTGGATAACTTAACAAGATTAAACAAAGAGACCTGACTCTCGGACAATTCAACATTTTGTATGTTAGAATTTAGCTGATCCTGCAAAGAATATTCCTCTATCCTTATAATGGAGCTATCTACATCATTGACATCCACAACAGTGACACCAGTAAAGGTAGCATTTACAAACTGTAAGCTTTGGATGCTATTGAGCAAAAACAAGCTACTCGAAGGATTGATTGTACTCCCTGTAATTTCTATGTCTTCAAAAACAACTTCATTCATGAGTTCAGAAGCAAATACCAACTTTGAAGTTTGAAAATTAGACTGGTCTACTTCCAAAGACCTCACTTTAAATACAGAATTTTGGAAAAGCAGACATTGGATTAGTGCTAAGTTACTTGTAGGAGAACCTGTGAAATTAGTCAACTTCAGGTTATAAAATTCGAATTTCTGGAGGTAGTTAACCAAGAAAGCAGACGGAACTTTAATAGACATTGAGTCCATTTCAATCGAAGTCTCATTTTTAGTACTATCCCCAAAGGTAACTTCTTTAATAAAAATAGCATAAAACAGAGCATCTATTAGATCACAATTAGTGACCTTCATACTTTGTATATTCAGTATATCAATTTGAGATCCAGCAATAGCAATTAGAGGAAATCCAGGATATGAAAGATTGAAGAAATGTAAGTTATTCCCAATGACATGTATTGGCCGATAATGGCTGACAGTAATATCACTATGTAATCCGCTCACTTTTGAAGGATTTGAGTCTCCGTGGCTAAATTTTACTCCATCCACATCTATAGTTCTCACTAAATCATCATCAGGATTTCAATACGGAAACTGAACAAGACTAATAGTTGAAGAAATATCAGATACAGTTCCATAAAAACTTGTAGCATCAAGCTCTCTGATTGTCCAGTTGCCTGCATGATTAGAGTCAATACCACGAGGATTCTCACTCAACGTTCTATCTTTAGAGTTCATCATTGTGTAATTTCTCACATCAATAGTAGCAGTCTTGTGTGCTTCTGGATAATTACACCCTGCATATATAGCAAACTGCTCTGTTAAAGTGTACATGTCTATCTTGGAGTCATGAATTACCCTAAAATTTTGTTCATATAACTTACAGATTAAACGGATCAGTTGTGAGAAGCACTTGCCCACTTATATTAATGAATGTGTTAACTAGAAGTAAAACAAACAGATATACTAAACCGGATGTCCATATTTTGGAGATAAATAGCCTGAAGGAACAGGTTATTCTTATTGTAATCAACTTCTTCCCTGTATATATCAATATTATTGAATTCTATTCCTGAACGAACAATGCAATTGGACACTAAAAATTAGAGAGAAGTTACTAAAGTTGCCAGCTTGTGCCTTCTCAGAATCAGTGAAATCTCCAGCTGTAATAAGAGCGCTAAAAGGGAGATCTGTGTGGGTCAGTAAGTGGAATTTGGCCTTCTTGCTGATTGTTGCTTGAGGAAATTCAGTTAATGTCAGAACTGCCTTTAGTCCATAAGCAGTGAGGTCTGGATGGGTCGTGATTTTTACGTTTGTGATGTTGACAAAGAACATTGTCTTGTCTTCAAGGTATACATCTTTGGTGTGGATTGTGACTTCAACTTCCTTGTGAGATAAGTAATTCAAAATCTCTGAAGCCACTGATTTGAGGGTTCTGTATGGGTACTTTTGAGTTCCAAGTTCGATAACTTCTGTGGAAGTAGGGTCAACATAGTATTCAAAATCTCTGCATACACTAGCTAGCGATATCTGTGAGCCTGTAAGCTCAACTTGAGTTGCAGGATTTCAGCTAGTCTTTCATTCAAGAGTTTTCAAGTCTAAACTCTGACCAGAAGGTCAATCAAGTCAGATGCTTTGATAAGCTCAAGCTCCATCTCAAGAACTGGGACAAATTCTACAAATTTTGGATGTAAAATCAAAGTATTCTCCATCAGGTCAATGACCACAGAGATTAGATGCTATATAATTTACCTCGCACTGATTACCTAAAAGTTGCATAAACTGATCACAAGTATTTCATTTACCATCCTGAGATCAACTCTTACACGACGAATCTCATGGCTTACACCCGTTATTAAACGAATAATAACCATCTTGTCAACAAATCGCCACCGCTATTGCCGATATCCAAACCATCAAAATCTAAAGAAACACAATTAAAACCCACCCCCTTCACCTCCCAAATCCATCTCATCCTCTATCCCCAACACAACAAATTCCCAAAACTCCCCAATCCAAGTTACTTTTTTAACCCCAAAAAATCTCCCCTACCCCAAACCCTAACTTCTTCACCAAATCCTCTCTCCTATCCTCCCATGCCTCTACAGAACCACTCAACAACTCAAACCAACCCCATAAGCCCACAACTCTCTAAACTGAACTAACTTCAGCCCAACGACCAGATGTCTTTTGAAATCTGCTGCAGGTAAGAATAGAGGATCCATGCCAGCTCAGGGTTTAGCTGGAGCAGAGGTAGGGTAAGGAATTGTATGGGTGAGAGGGATTAGATGAAGAGAGAGGAAGGAATGGGGTGGGGGAGTGGATGAAGGGATACGGAGGGGAAAGTAGTGGTGGAGATTTTGGAGTGGGGTTTTTGGGTTGTTTTGGGGAAATTATGGTAGCATAAGAAAGGAGATTTTTAAGGTAATAATAATGGGTATTTAAAATTAAGAAAATTAATAAGGCTGCTGAGAGAGTCTATATTGTTTATTAACCTTATAAATTTGTGTTTAGTATAATTTTTCAAAAAGAAAATAACATAATTTGTTTCAAATAGTGTCAATAATTTTTGATTATAAAAATTTAACAAAGAGAGTCAATTATATCTTTCCCTGTCTTTTAAGTTAAAATTATTTACTTTTAGTAATATATGAAAATTATTTAATACTTATTTTTTGCTACCTCTCAAAAATAAGACATGGTTAAAATGTAGTTATGTAAACCCATACCAAATCTCCAAAAACCTATTTTCCATACCTCACCTAAAACTTAACCACCCAAAATCCCCAGTCAAGCCCCCAAAACCTCTCCTCCTACGACCCAAGGGCGCTAAGCCCCGAAGAAGTAGGAACAATTCTGGAATTGACTTACCTTCATATTTGTACAAATATTATATTCTATTTGGGTGAGGGAGGAGGGGTTTTGGGGTTTTGGGGTTTTGGGGTTTTGGGGTTTTGGGGTTTTGGGGTTTTGGGG